GTGGCAATTCATGAACCCTGCTGTCAGTGTTCATGGAAAGCTTATTCAAGTGTAAATAAAAATTAATTTAGAATTTTTTAAAAGAATTTAAAATCACATTTCTATAAATTTTACACCCAGTATTTTTTTTCATTATTACTTATAGATGAAGTATGTCTTCAAAATAGCATAAACATGTTTTGCAAACAAATGTTAATTAAAAAGGTATTGCGATAAATCGTACATCAGTACCGGTTTGTTCGAAGTGAAACAGCCTGATGGCGGCCAGGGACTTGCTCGCCTCGCATGTACCTTCAGAACGTAATGATGTGTGATCGTGACATGAACAGGTGTTAATCTGGGTGACTCTCCTTAAGGCATGGTACTCCTTAAAAATCAGCCTGTAGATGTGGTGCAATGGTGAATGATTCACTGAAGTCGTAGTGATTGAGTTTTATGAAAAATTGAAGACGGTCAACTGGAAGAATGTCGCGATGTCGCTTTCAGTTTTAAATGGCGTTATTATTGTTGCTGGCATTATCTAATACATATAATACGCTAATGAAAACTGATGGATTATTCCCTTTTATAAAAAACTAAGGACTCACTCCCCTCCCCCCCCCGTACTTGTAATGCTGCTGAATAAAAAATTACATCCCCCGGGTGCATCCAAGAGATTTATGACGAAAAACATAGAAGTTTGCAGATAATGACAGTTGAATTATCAGGCGCGCATGCAATCTGCAACCGCACATCACGCAACAATACTAGTTTATTTTTTTATTGTACTTTGTGGGACACAAGTTAAGTTTTCTAGACTAATCTGATCTTTGTAGACGTTCTATTACATTTTTTTTGTTCCATCGCTCGTCGGACGGACGGGTAGCAGTGCTGAAAGCTGGGTTCCAATATTAAATTATTTTCATTTTTTAAACCATGATTAAAAAAGGTTGTGTGTATAGGATATTGCATTTTATTACCGAAACATCTGTGGGGCCTCTAATACATTTTTTGCGTTTTCTTTTTTACTGGGTTCTGTAGCAAGCCAGAACTTTGTGTTTCATCCGGCAGGGAAGACGGTAAACTACACTATATGCCATGAAGATCGCCACAGGCCTACCATGCTTCAACGTGCAGTTTAGATTCTGTCCTGAAGATGGAATTCAGTTGAGTGTATTTTCCCATTTAAAGCAACGATTTTCTAAGAGCGGAATGATCACACGGGTCCAGTGTATTATTATTATTATTATTATTATTATTATTATTATTATTATTACTATTACTATTATTAAGTAGTAATATTATAATTGCTACATTTCCTTTTTCTAAAACGCGGAGGTTCTAAAATAACAAAGCAAGCCGGCCTTTGTTCTTTGCCTGTCACTGGAAATCTGGGGAGGTTTCCTGTCAACGTTGAAGTGCAGAAGACCATTCCATTACACCAGAAACGAGGAGTAGGATTAACGTGTCAACGGGAACGGGCGAGATCTCCAACATCGGACTCTAAAGTTGACACCAGAATCATTCCTTATAAGCACGTGCGTATTTCTGAGGGGTGGCTTTGAAGCTGGCACTTGGTGCACCACACTGACTGGTATTCCTTTCTATTCAATTTTAAGAGTAGTGCACACAATACATCGAACAATTAATTTATTACTAATAACACTTCTTTTTATGTGATAATTTGCTATTACATTTAAATTTAAAACGTTTTTTCGTGTACCATGTTACCTAAAAGAATGAGGTTTGCCCATCATGCATCTAGAATGTGTGCTCTGATCTCGTCGTGATTGTGCGCGTGTATAAATGAGGCATCGGAACTATCTGCTTTCTGTTGCATATGGAGTACCTGAATTCGTGATGAAGTAGCATAGTTGTGTTAATTTAATAAACTGTGTATGTAATGTTATACGATTCTATCGTAAATATGGTCGTTTTCCATATGTATTAATAAGAATAACAAGCTCTTGATCCTTGTCCGTGTTCCAACATCTGGGATTCTGTGTTGGCTACAGTTGGATCGTTGAACTCCCGCCCTGCTCCACTCGTTTATTACGAGTGTTTATTATTCTAATTCGGTATCGAATTTCAGCTCATATGACCACGGCCATTTAGGTATAGCGTTCGAGTGTGCAGAATAGAGGCCTCTGTGAAAAACTGACTGAAAAAGGAAACAAAATGAAAGTTTTAATCAAGTTGATTGATTGAAACGTCTCCAGGTTTTACAGGGTTATATTCTGCGGGAGAGTAGAGTGAAAATAAAATGTATATTCAGTAAACCTTGGTAAACCGTACGAAGAGATACACCGGGGCAAACCACTTGCAAAGTTTCCGCAATTTGGAATGGTGTAAGGAACTTGTAAAAAGAATTTAAACCGACTTATAAAATTGAGTAAAAATATACGGGTATAAAATATGCTTGTTATTAATGTGAATTCAGAATATATTAAAATACAATTTGAAGATAGGATCACATATATAGATTATATTTGTCGAGAAATATCTCATTATCAATGTTTCTTCGTCCATAAGTAAGCCTTAGATCCATGTTTATGCATAGTACTATTTTTAAAATAAATAAGTTTGGAAATAGAGCTCTACGACGTAAATGTACAGTTACGTGGCAATGTGAGAACAGCCCGCGACATATAGCCCTAATTTCAACGGTATTATTTTAGTATTTATACCAAAACTAGAAGCGGCGAGCGTAGCAGTGGTTGGGAAGACGGGGGTGCGCTCCCGGCAAAGGCCAGAAATGTCCTCGATGTGCGATGGTGGCTGAAGTGTCCCATCAGTGGTGTCCCTGATCACTTGCAGACGAATGCCTGAGCAACATCTTAGAATCCGACGCATGGACCGCGCGCGATCCTTTCTTCTCTTTCCATCATCATTCCCGTTTTTAGAGCAGGAGGATGGGCTGATCACCTGTCCTCGTAGGACTCATCTCGTTGATTCATATCTCTGACAAGCAGAGGAACTACGGGAAGTGTTGAGTACCTCGAGGCACTAAAGGTGGAGGTGGGGAAACTTATTATTATTATTATTATTATTATTATTATTATTATTATTAATTGTTTTGGTCTCGGAATTTCAAGTCCTGTTTTCTTAGGTGTGGGTCAACTTTGGCTGGCCACATACTGGATTATAGTTTATGACAAATTCAGCACGGTGCAAACTATTGGACATGTTTCCAAGATGACAGATATTCTGCGTTTGAAGGATTGTTGCATACGGGTTTCATTGTAATTTTGTTTATATTTGTTTTTAAAGTTTTTGTTGACCAGGCCAGTTACTGTGATAACAAATGGTGTATCTTCAACAGAATTAAGGTTATATATTTCTTTGTATTCTATGGCAAAGGGGGTATATTTGGTATTTTTTTTTTCTTTCTGTAATTTCAATATTGTGTTCTGATGGATGCGTGATATTAATGAAGACCTTTTTTTCTGTGAATTATTATTACTACAGTTTCGATAAATATCCAAAGAGAGAACATTTTTGTATAATGACGTGCAGGGACTCTCGGCGAAAACTAGGGACCCGGGGCAACTGGTCCAAGGGGCTCCTTCATATCAAAACAAGAAATCCGTCCTCCCATATTTCATAAACAGAATTCATTCCTCTACGCATGGAAAACAACTTATAGCGTTAACTTTAAATCAGAGATAAATGATTTTTTGTAAATTCTTTTGAATAAAAAATATTTTAAATAAAAAAACCTCGGGGCCTACAGCAAGTTGATTCAGCTGCCCCCAGCCCTTCTGGTCGCCCCTGGTGACGTGTGATGCCATGTTGCACTTCTCGAAGCATGATGGGGTCGATTGCAATGTCTCAATCGGGCAGCGGGAATGACAGAACTCGTAGAACGCGGAAGGCATTCCTTGTCCTGATATGCGTCTTGCGTCTTTCCTCTTGTCGGCCCCCTGCTTCCTCGCAACCTATCAATCTCAGTCTCAGACACGTGGACCGCACGCTTTCGCGCGCCCTCGGCGCTCCAACACGCCCGCACGCTCGCACGCTTGCTCGCCCTCGGTTCCGCGCTGATAACGCCTTGCCTTATAAGGAGAATAGACTGCACCCGGCGCCTCGCCGCACGTAGTGGCGCCGCCACGGTATCCCCTCCCCTCTCCCGCCCCTTCTCCACGTCCCCACCTCCCCCACCACTGCGTATCTGCGCGTTGAGTAAGCGATCGAGGGATGTAAGTCAGGGCCGGAGCATGGAGTCGGACGGAGTCCCTGCTGGCCATATTGAGGAGAACGCGCAGGGGCTGCTGTGTGGCCCCGCGCGCCTCGACGTTGCGCCAGCTGGCCGCGGCGCGCTGTGGGCCACGTGGCCAAGATATCTGGCGGAAACATTAATCCAAGGGATTTAATGGAAATTGATGTTAAGAAGAGACACGGCATGAAAATTACTACCCATGAAAAGAACCGAAGAGTTTGCAAATAACAGAAGAAATATTTACTTATTTATATGTTTAGTATAGGGTATTTACCCTATACTAAGTTTACCCCCTACTAAGTTATGTTAAAAGGAAATACGAACAAGTATTACAAAATTACGCTGTATGCTCAATTTTCGCTGTGCATTTGTAAATTGCTTAGTTAAGTAAGCTGAGGTTCTCTGGTAGCACGTACTCTAATTTAATATACTTCATATAATTGCGTACATATTTGAATTGTGTACGTACATGAAATGTAAGTTCGATATAAGTGGCATCAAATTACTTGGAATTAGCAATTAAAAATAGCATATTCTTAGAATCGTGATTAATGATAATATTAAAACCCGTCTCTGAAGACTTTGGTTCATCTGGCACTTTTCAACCTATAAAATCTTTCATTCGTCTTTTTCTCTTCCGTTTTATTACTGTATATAAAAAAAACATGTTCACTGACATGTCATTCTTGGAGCACCGTTATCGCGATAAATGATGGAGATTCTGTAACCTGCAGTCGGTGAAAATGACGATAGTTTGCTCATTCGGCCACCCCGTTCGTATGTTCCTCCGAGCGATGCGTGATCTGCCCCACTGTGCAGCGAGGCACGTGGTCGTGAGCAGGCGCTGGCAAATGAGTTATGCCGTGGGCGCACAGCTGTTTGATTTGTGTAAAGTTCGACTACCGATCCGCCAATCTGCCCAAATGTCGCTGCGCTCGTTGCCATGCACTCTGTCGTTTTGGGGTTTCGCTTTGTGTGAGTGTGGGGCCGACGACGAGGATGCTAGTGTCTTAAATCATTTCTCAGGTATATAACAGGTCTGTTTTAAAGGGATGTTTTAAAGTGGTCATTTAGGGACTTCTCTCCCACACGTCACAGTTTTCAAACTGTTTTTGGATGTTCAATAAATAAGTAAATAGGTTCAGATGAATTGAAGAGTTTGCGGCAGAAACAAGATAAGCCACTCCAGCTTCGGCAAGTGTCCCGCTATTCCTGAATGCTAACATGTCGATTTTTGTGAAAGTGTGATGTTACTATATTTGTGTTGTTCATTTTAATGATGCGCTTGAGAAAGTGACAATGTGAGACCCATTTTGATTCAAACCGGGGTATTAAGATTAACGAATAGCGGGAAGCTTGCCTGTGTAACTAGTGTCACTTATCTTGTTGCTGCCCCTGGCACTTCAATTATCTATGCGTTTTCGCTAGGTGCCACCTCTGATCTACCATGCGGCTTTTTTTCTTTCTTATTTCCCACCGGCTGAATTACCAGCATTGCCGCTGTCTCTGCAGTGGACCCGGAGTTATAGGATTCTTGTACTGACAGTAGCGAAGAGTATGGTCGAAATCAGCTGCTGTGTGGAGGAGAATTCTAGCAGTCAGCTGCACTGGTCAGTAGTTTCCCGTCATTTCTCTGATCAATGCTAAGTGAACATGAGAGCAGTAGCCTACTAAACAGACCACGGGCCGCCCACGAGTTTTCCTTCCTCTTCCTTGTCCTACACATGCACTTACACCACACGTGAGCTTGGAGCTTGTCCCGGCCGAGCACGTGAGCCGGCGTGTAGGTTGGCGCCGTATCGCACCATCCAACGAACATCACCACCTCCCGCTATAAATATTCACTACACTAACAGGATTAATGACCTCAGACGTTGTCGTACTCGGAAGCATCATTTTCCTGCGGAGCTCTAAAGGGATCTATACGCATTCGGGATGGGTTTTTTTCCCGTTCAGGTTTACTCTTCGGGGTAAACAGGAGCGTCTGTGAACACAACACCGCCAGTTAAACAGCCAGTAACGACATCCATGGACTCTTGATTTTCTTCCTGGGGTTACGGGAAAATAGGATAGGATTCTGAACGTGTGCGTTGATAGGATTCTAAACGTGTGTGCGAGTAAACTCGTTGCGGGAACAGTTGTGTTAAAACTTTACAATACAGAAAGTTATAGCCAAGGGCGAGCGACGACCAGGCCGGAGGGCGAGGGACCTCCAGTCCGAAGACCGCCCAGGTGAAAACGCAGAAAAGGCAAACCCGTAGGGTGAATTGTGCGGTTAGAAGTCCTTTCAGAACGGGCGCTGAACGGCCTGGAAACAGCGAATCAGAAGGACGCGCGAATTGCTTCGATTTATAAAAAATCCCTCACTGTTTGTTTTTTCAGTATATTTATTGCTTAATTTGCCATACGGTAAGATCACTGATGCTGACAAGGCCAATTCTTCCACCAGTAACTTTGAATGCATCTTCGATGAGATCGGTTGTTTGAAGAAAACATGTTTTGATTTGGCTCTAAAAAGATAAGTGAAGTCTAATTTACCCGCTGAACACATACAAGACTATTTATGCTAACGCATGAAAGCTGACTGATAATATTAGTCGACCTAAATGGAGAAGACCTGCGATGTAGCGATTCTCGACTCGCGTTCTTGGACAAAGTTTCCGTTTCTACAGATCGACGAAAACCCCAAAGTAAATTTCCAGAATTAACTCCTTAACTTTTACGTGTGAGAAAAAATTCCAGATTTGTTTTAAAAGAAAGTGGGATGGTAGCGATGCGGGATGAAACACTCTTTAGACAGCCTTGAAAAATAACTGCGGTATCTTCAAAAAGAAGTGTAGCACGAAAGAATCCTGAAAGGTCCCGCTTTCTCCTAGGGCAGCGGTCGCGATAA